TCCCCACGGAGTCCTGCACCTAATAGTAATGGCTTCTTTCATTGTCACGGGAGGGTCGGATCAGTGTTTCTTTTCATTCTCGGTTTCTTTCAGTAACTGCTGGGATAAAAGCAAGTCTAGGAGAATAAAAATTTCACAAAACAGGACAAGAATAAAATATTTAGGGCAAGAGATCAGAAGTTCTTTGGTTATTCAGTGAACTGAACTAACTCTACCTAAAAAAAAAAAAGTATAAGGAAATAAATGTCTATCGCACTCCATGTGACAGTGGGTATTAGCCTCTCGACCCCATCTCACAGGCTCTAAGCTGTGTCGCCATGCCTAGTAAACTGCAGTAAGAGACTCAGAGTAATCCAGTGATGAAACGGAGCAGTTCTAGCATTACTAAGTCACTTCCCAATGTTTACCACATCTTTATTGGAGAAGCATTCTACCCAAAGCTGTTTAAGGGCCCATTCCCTTCCACTTCTCCTCCCCAAATCCATTCGGTGATGAAAGGTAGGCATGGAGGGGTCATTATCACTCCATTAGGGCCTTGGAGCAAAACCAGTCACTTCAGAGGGGCAGTTCAACCTTCTTATCATTAGGTCCTTCCCCAAGTACAATCTATGGTTTCTGAGCGAGAAGACGGGTTTAAAGCAGCATGATTGAGAAGTACTGTACGAAAACTTTTCACCTTTATTCATTAGTAAAGTGGTCATCTTGGGAAGTACTTGTCAAAAAGCACTTTAAACATCTGGTTTTTACATGGCAGTCAAAAAAATGTATTTTTTCCAGACCAGGATTGAGATTAATTTGATCAAGAGAACGGATCCCTCCCAGAGTGGTCAAGAAATAGTTATGTCCTAAAACTATGGCTCCGCGTCTAGTCACGCTGAATGTGATTCAGTTGCTTGTGATAACCCCATCCTGGCCCCGGGAAGGCTCTTTCCCGGGACCTATCAATTAACACGGCTTAAGAAACATTCTATGCCCAAGCAATTCAGGCTAAAAATAACTCTGTGGGCTATTTTTCTTTACTCACCCACAGAAAGCATTTGTATGTCAACAAGATCATTGCTCCTTGAGTGTTTTCACTCCTGCTTACTCCTCCCTGAAAATAGAGTTGTTTGATACATTCAGGAAAGTTGCAGGGTTGGTGTGGGATGTGAGACATACTGAGCAGCAAAACTAGGCTGATGCAACTAAGCTTTGTGACTGCCAAGTGTCCAAAGAAAAACAGAAAAAGAATCCAGTATTCAAAGATAGGATAATTTAAAAATAGATTCTTTTCCCCTCCTTTCTTACAAATATACACAATTCTTTACAGACAGAATTCACTTCTACCTTAACAATATTAACTGAGTACTTACTATGTATGAGGTAGTCTTCTAAGAGCTTTACAGGCATTAACTCATTAATCTGCACAACCCTATGAGGTAGGTACGATTATCTCAATTTCACATTTGAAAAAACTGAGGCCCAGAGAGATCAGTAACTTGTCCAGTAACTTGTCCAGAGTCCCTTGGCTCATAAGTGTCAGAGCCAAGATACAAACCCAGTAAGCCTGGCTCCTGAGCCCATGCTCTAACCATTACATTATATACTGCTTCTGCAACAAAAAAGATAACCTTTTCTGCTTTCCTGCAAAGCTGTATTTCTCAAATCTACATTCTCTAAATTAAGCAGACACATAGTCCCATGGTTCATCTTAACATGAAAACAAGGATCAACAGGAACTTTCGTTTCATCCAAAATGTATCGACTCTCTTAAACACACCAAATGGTAAATGTTTCCCCTTTTCAAATATAAAAATGCAGTGAGATAGCTATTCAAGCATCATAATTACTTTCTAGCAACAGGAAATGTTTGCAAAATTAAGGCCCTGGACACCTTCAGTTTAAGCAGTCAGCATTCTGATGGATCTCTTGTGGCTGTAACAAAACGTAAGTAGCTAATCTCTGAAAGAAAAACAAGTCAGTTTTAACAAGACCTTAATTAGAAAATGTTTAATTCTATGACTATATTATTAGGGTGATTGAGTGTAAAGTAGAAAGTTCCTTTTCCTTAATGAATCTCTAATAGATTTGCAAAACTATCAAAGCACTGGCCTACTCAGCTGTGACTGAAGTTCACTCACCAGACTTTAGGGAGGCCAAAGCACCACCCGTGTGTCCCCTCTGTTCGAAGGCCCTAACTTTACTTAAAATTTTGTCTAATCTTTCTTCAATTTCTCCCATCTCTTAAACACTTTACTTATTCATAAGCTTTACAGGCCAATATCATATTTTAAAGTACTAACAAACATATTTTAAGACACCATTCTCTGATTAGCTTCTGAAATAGATTATTGAATAACTCAAATATTGGATATTTTGCCTTAGACAAGAAGCTCTCTTAAATGTGGTAATTGTAGTGAAGTAAAGGGATAACCCGGCTGTCATCACCTAAGTGTTTACCATGACCAAAACACTGATGTCATCATTTGCATGACAAAAGCGAATCAGGAAGTTTTGCTACATAAGTTAAATTTGCCTAGCCCTCCTGGGCCTCCTTCCTTATCTGGTGAGACACAAGCAATTTCCTTTCACTGATGCATTTACTTTCTACAGATATAACAACAAAAAGCACTGAAAATTCTATCCTGACAGACAGCCACTGGACTGCAGAGGTGGACCTGACCCGCCAGGCAAGTCAGTCTCATCAGCTTCCCTCACGTCAGTCTTTTCCCAATAACAAAGCTTAAAGATAACCCACATTATATAGTTTAACAGGGGACAGAAAGTTTTAGTGAAAAATATTTTCGTGGACGGGAAGTGCTTCAAAAGTTGGCCTTTAAGTTATTTAATATTAAGACACCATCAGACTGAGCTGTTAAGAAAAAATCAAATTGCCCTAAAATGACTTTTAAAAAGGTGTTTGTATTGGCAAGTTTCAAGAAACTGGCAGGCCACTGATATTAGTATCTAATAGCAGTCCTCTGATCTGGGAGAGAAGCCTTACACGTGTCTCTCTTGATACTTAGTGAAGTCAGTAAACAATGTCCCCAGCCTGTACTTGACTGATATTAAGAGCCACACCTTCAATTTTCCAGCCTAGACCATAGTTCCCCTCCTCCCACATCCCTCCCAACCCAGACAGGTGATGACAGACAAGGAGGCAGTGAGGTTGCTTCAAAATATTTAATACGTGTTAGACACGTAAAGTTACATTTTTATACAAAAATCAATACAACGAAGGAGAAAATACTGTACAAAAACCTTGTCAGCTCCCCCAACCTTTATACAACAAAGACTGGAGTCACCGAATCTACAGAACCATAAGGTCTTTCCACTTAGGGGTTCTGCCTGTAAACTTTGTTTCATTAAACACTTAAAAGCACTGTGTAGTAGTTCTGTAGAGCTTTTAAAAATATCTTTTCTCTATAAACTCCGTACTTCCAAGCTTGAACTCTTCTGTGAAGTTCATCAAGCTTTTTTCCCTGTGGAGAAGACAAGGGCCGCTAAGACTCCCCTTTCCGAGAGTTAATCACAGGGTATAAACGTTTCTTCAGTGAGAGAAAAGTGGGGAGGGAGAGAAATAATACAAGTCTCTACCCCAGACTAAATCCCTCTAGTCTTAGGAAATCCTGCGAGGAAACGCCACTCCTGGCCCTGGTACGGATCTAGCTTTCATGTGAGAGGTGTGTGTAAAGTCCCTTCCTGCCCCAAGAACGAATGGGGAACTCCCCGGCCCTTTTAAGCCACTTCCTTCTCAGTGCCGCTGGCAGAGGAAAGTCCCTGTCTGCCCCCAACCTCCTAAAGGCCTGGGGAAGGGGTGATGCATTCCAGAAGGACAAAATAGTCTTAAATCACAAAACAAACTTACAACATAGACATACACAGACACACAAGTTAACAATCGTCC